ATCCCATTATTCATATTTTTTTCAGAAGAACCACAAAAGTTTTATTTTAACTCCATGTTTACAAAAAATAGTGATTCATACATGAACTGGGTTTTCACTGGGTTTAATACATTAAAATGACATAATCCAACCCTACTCATGCATTACTTTCAGAGATACAGCACAACTGGAAATAGAGTTGCCATCACGGTGGACATTTCTAAAAGCAAATGCCTATGGGTGCTCCTGAGCCCTCAAAACAATAATAATAGTAGTAAAAACAAAAGTAACCAACACCACAGTTCTCTAAGAATGGCTGTGTTCTGCACATTGTGGAAAAATAATAAAAATAGCCTTCTAGAGTTTCAATATGCTTCATAACATGAATTTTGTCTCCCTTAGTTTGCTTGCTGCCTTCTGAGATCAGTTGATTAGAAGCCTGTTTTCATTGCTTCTGTACTAATTGCTGTTGGTCTTTGTAGGCTACATGTTTTAAGTTTCTGTAAAGAACATTACAAATTATTTGATGTAATTTAATTTTGTACTGAATATTCTTCAAAGAATTTTACAAACAATACAACATTTTAAATGAGTTTTCAAATTCTCTTGTTGTGAAACAATATTGTTGCTTTTTCCAACTTCATCTATAAATGATCTAATTCCAGGTAAATTTAAGAGGGATCCAAGAACTGGCATTCTTCTAATAAAGCCAACCACACAGAAAAGAAGCCCCTGAACAAGTTAAAGAATCCATAATTTTCAAAGATCCTGCCTCTCAAATGCCAACCAATAAGAACTACAAATACACCACCTAGGAAAAATCCTGTAGCTCTCATTTTATGTTTTTGGGGAAAGAATCTGAATGTTCTTTCTAAACTGATTATAAAAGCCTAGCCAGTCACAAACAAAACATTTCCAATAGCCAGTAGTACTTTGTCAAAAAAAGATAATCATTCCAAACAACAGGAAAAACTGTTAATCCCATTTCAATTTTCTGGGTGTCTATAAAGGAGATCATGGTTGTAGTGGTGAGGGCAGTGGAGGCAGCACCTTGAAATGCCCAGTGTGGAAAGCTGAGTAGGGAGAAAAGAAGGCAGGAAGCAGCCCAGGAGAGCTGTCACATCTTCCAGAAACATCCACTGTTCATATTTTTAAACCATACATTTCTCTCAAAAGTTGAGAAATTAGAGAACAGGGCATGGAGACACACACCTATAATCCCAGCAAAAATGGAGGCTAAGGCAAAATCACAAGTTTAAGGATATCCTGGCAATTTAGTGAGGCCCTAGCAATTTAGCCAGAACCTGTCTCCAAATAAAAAGGGCTGGGGATGTCGCTCAGTGATTAAGCATCTCTGGGTTCAATCCCTGATACCAGAAAAAAAAAGAGTTGAGAAATTAATCTATGGAAGGTCTAGTGGTCCTGGGAAGAAGTACCATATTGCATATGAATGTAAAAATACCTTAACTTTCTCCTCTGAAACAGTGGATAATTTACTTGATGTTATATAAGGTAAAAGTGTGCCTATCTCTGCCCTACTGTATAAGACTTTGGATATATAGATAAATGACATTCAGTTTATGCTTTAAACTGCTTACATTTAAAGAAGAATTCTCAGTGACATTTCTTAAATTCCCTCTATGAACAAAGAATAAATTTCATAGGTCTCTGAGCAAAAACTTTGCATTTTAGACCCATTCAGAATAGCCATTCCAATGACCTTGCTGATCCTCAATTTGAGAAAGCAATGCTCCCAATAGTATCTCCAGCATCTCTGTGTGCCTCCCAACACTCACTCACTGAACTAGGCTTCCTTCCTAATGAGGTGATCTTGCTAATAGTGCTACTGAAATTCATTCCCTCTTCACATCTAATGAGCAGTGAGAACTGAGGATCTTTCCTCATGAATGACAGGAGTCATTCCCCAGAAACAGGAAGGGGCCTCCTAATACAGATGACTCTGGAAAGAGACAGAGGTGTGATTTCCACTGAACCGGAACCAACATTCTGAAAAGCTGAAAGAACAGGTTGATATTTACTGTTGTATCGTGTTAAGCATGCTGTGTGATCAAGAGTGCTCTTGATATTGTTCTGTAGGCACCACAAGATTATGGATCTATCCCTCTTCTTTCCAGCAAGTTACACAACCCATCAAATCACCATGTTCTCATGCAAACTTTCCTGTCACATGGGAAGAAGTAGCTCTGTATTTTATATCACAGCAGATACCACCATGTAGCTCCTTTCCATGTAGTATGGAAAAAATGACCCTACTTTCTCTCCTACTAGCAGGATTCCTCCAATGTTGTCTCAATACACTGCAATCATTGTGTTCAAATTCAACAAATATTCTCATAGATTCTTATTTTTGCTTATGAAGTAATTGCTCATTTCACTCCATAATTTTTTTTTCTTCTGTCTTTTTATGGGTGTTACCAGCAAACGAAGTCTTTCTTTTTATTTTAAATAATTTATTTATTTCTTCTACTCTAGGATCCAGTTGAAGTGCAAATGTTGCATTTAGTTATCATGACTCATTTAACTTCAGTCAGGGACAGTTCTTCAGCCTTTATCTTTCAAAACCCTGACATTTTTAGTCAGAGTTTATTTTAAAAGGATGTCCATAAATCTGAGCTGTGAAAATATTTTATACTATAATTTTTGTAGGGTCTTACACCTTTCAGAATTAAACACACACACACACACACACGAGACACACTGGGAAAGAAATTAAATGAACCCAGAAGCAGTACATTTCAAGAAGCAGTGATTAGCAAAAACAACAGCAGACAAGGCCTGTTTAGCAGATATGGACTGTCTTAAATAATTATTTTCTCCTGATTATAAAAGCAGAAAACAAGCATTAAAGGCCTCTCACCTGTTAATCACCTGCATTTTCTCCCATCCTAGGAAGAAGGCCACCACCAGAATAAAAGCCCCACTACATCACAAAGTGCTCATTTGCAGGTGCCATTTAATGAAATAAACTTTTAGCCATAGAAACATCAATGAAATAGTAAGTGCCAAACCTTAATTCCTCCACAGAGACACTAAATTAACAACACATATGGACCAAGTTGCCTTTGTGAGAACTCCAAGAACTAGTTAAGAGATATTAGCACATCATGGAAACACAAATTCAGGAAGAGGTGAATAAAAATGGACAAGAAATGTTGCTGTATTTGCCATCGAGGACCTACACCCTCCCAAAAGCAGCATGACACAATCAGGAGAAAATTCCCAAGTTCTGCCTTGAAACAAGAATAAGAAGGTGGAATATTCATGTAAAGATGTATCTTTCTAGTAGGCTTATGCCTTGCCTGACTTAGAGCACTATAGAGAAAGATACACAGAAAAATGTTAAGGCTCATACATTACCAGAGAGACTGTAGTACCACAAACAGATGACAGGGGAGACAAGAGATGATGGGCTCTGAGAACAAAGGCAAACCTCTTTAATGGTGAAAATTACACAAACAAGCCCAGAGAAAATTCATTTTCTGAAAATGTTTGAGAATTTCTAGGCTTTTTTATTGGCAGGGCAATGGGATAGGGAGAGCCTCTGGGGATTAAATCCAGGTCCTCCCATATGCTGGGCAAATGCTCTATCACTGAGCTACATCCCCAGTCCTAAAATTTCTATTAGTCTGTGGTGAACGTCTTCCACTACATGAAATCAATCCATAAAAACTGTGAGAAGTAGCTATTTTCTCAAAAGCCAAAAACTCAACAAAGAGAACAAGGCATGCAAAAAAATATGGAAACATGGCCGAATCAGAGAAATAAATTAAATATTCATAAACTTACTGTGAAATATTCTTTAAAGAAATTAGATCTATGATTTATCTGACAAAAATACAAAACATCCACCTGAAGGATAGTCAGTAAGCTAAAAAAGAACACAGACAACAAAATCGGGGAAGCAATGCATGAACAAAATGAGAATATTAGCAAACACCTATAAATTATTAAAAAGCAACAAAAATTTTGGAGTTGGAGAATCAATAAGTAAATTGAAATATTTGATAGTGTCATAATAGACACAATCAACCAGAGGGACATAATCAATAAACTTAGGAACTAATTATTTGAAATTATTGAATCAGTGAAGCAAAATAAAAAGGAACAAATAAAAATGAAGAGATTCTAAGGATTTTATGGGAAACTATTAAGCTGAATTTTTTGCATTAGGGGAATTTCAGAAAGGGAATAGGGTGGAAGAGATAGAGATTCAACTTTTTAAAATAATGATTGAAATTTTAAATTTCTCAAATTTGAAGAATAGACATACATATCCAAACACTAAACAAACTCTGATAAATCCAAAGACACCCATAATGAGATATATTACACTCAAATCATCAAAAGTCACAAAGTTCAAACAATGGCAGCATCACGGAAAAGCAATTCAACATGTACAAGGAAAATCCTAAAGGATTATCAGCAGATTTCTTAGTAAAATCCTTGGGCATCTTAAAAAGTCTCAAGCTCAAGCCACATACCAGTTCAATAAATCAGAATGTCTGGTGGTGAGACTCAGGCATCAATGTTTTTAAAGATCCCTTAGTGCTTCCCATAAAGGCAATCTGGAGGACCAGTGATACACATCCTAATAGATAACCTACATAAATAAATTTTTTATAAATGCAAAATTTATATGGTAAAGACACAGAAGCTACTGAAAAATATATTAATTATAAGAAATTTTAAGTATATGAAAAGATAGTTGCTCATCTTTCTGAGATTCTTGGATAATTAATAATAAAGTACAGAAGGTTGCATAAGTATAATAAAATTCAGAAATGCATGAGTAAGCTGTACAAAGAATACAGAAACTCCCACAGTTTCACTAAAGACAGTTTTTTTTTAAAAGCAATATTTAGATATGAAATAGGAGGAGAAATGAAAACCACAAGAGCTTAAAAATGATGTGATGAAGGAGATGAGTTTTGCAGGCCAGGATGTTTAGTTTTGTTGCCTTTGCAGACCAGCACTGCAAATAGATAACACAAATCCTGAGACTAGACTATTTTTCTGAAAAGCCTCCACATAGCCCTCTTGATGTCCTTGTTTCTAAGGCTGTATATGAAAGGGTTAAGCATAGGGGTGACTACAGTGTATGCTACTGAGGCCACTGCACCCTTCCTAGGAGAAAGTGAGACAGCTGAACTGAGATACACCCCAAGGCCTGTCCCATAAAATAAGCAAACAATTGACAGGTGAGACCCACAGGTAGAGAAAGCTTTATATTTCCCACCTGATGATGGAACTCTCAGAATAGAGGAAACTATTTTATAGTAAGAGAAGAAGATCCCTGAGATAGGAAGAAAACCAGAGATGGCACCAACAAAATACATGACTATGTTATTGGTAAATGTATCAGAACAGGCAAGGTTGAGGAGCTGAGAAGGGTCACAGAAGAAATGAGAAATCTCCACATTCTTGAAGTAGGTAAGTTGTAACACCATTGAATTATGCAGCTGGGAGACCAAAAGGCTGATGAGAACTGACAACAAAACCAATGAGCCACAAAGGCATATCACAGTATGATTTAATTTCAGAGAAAATACAAAAGGAAAAAAAGAATAGACAGGTGAATGTAATACCTGGAGAGTTTCCACACTGTAAAATGAAAATCATAGCTGAACTTACCTTACAGTGGTGTGTTTAAGAAATTGGGTGAAATGAAACAAAGTGCTTAGACCAGTGGTCAATAATACTAATTGATCATTATATTTACCTATGGGTATTTAAAATATACTGATGCTCTGCCATAGCTTAGAATGAATTAAATAATTATCTCTGTATATAGGGTTCTTAGTGGTCCAGGACCAAGAATCAATGTCTCAGAATACTGCCACATTAATAGAAAATGTTCTATTAATAGTATATATGTTATTATCATCATTAACACTTACTACCTATATTAAAAATATAAACAATTCAATATTTGCCTCAGAACTTCTATTTAAAAAGATCTGAAATATTACCAATAAAATCTGAGTTTTCCTATATCCATGCATAATCCCATTCTTCTATACATCTGTCTCCAAAATGCAAACACTGTCAGGAATTTGATAAGTATATTTTGTCCATGATTTTCTAACATTAGTATTGATTTGCTTATGTGTAATTCTCTTGAAAATCTAGGTAACCAATATACTACTCTCTATTACATCTAACATTTTAATAAAATACTGAATTAAAGTCTTTCTGTGAAGTACATATATTCAGATATAACATTTCAATGCATAACATTGCCTGAAGATTGGATTTCATTTTATTTTTTAATTTCTCATGACAACAATCCTATGAAAATTCTCACACTTCTCTTACCACACAAGTGAGAATTTGTATATGATGTGTGCCTTCAGGGTAGCTGTTTTGAGTTGTAAAAAAAGATGTATATTCAATTTTTACTATTTAATGCCTACATTTGTTTTTCCAATAGAAAAAATCAGGTGCTATCAAATACTTTCTTTTATTAGATATCAAATGAAGCGAAGCTCAGTGGCACACACCTGTAATCCCAGTAACTTAGAAGGCTGAGATAGGAGGACCACAAATTCAAAGCCAGCCTCAACAAGTGAGGCCCTAAGGAACTTATGAGACCCTGTTTTTAAATAAAAAATAAAGCACCCCTGGGTTCAATCCCCAGTACCAAAACAATACAACAACAACAAAAATGATATCAAATAAGAAATATTCTTGAAGTCTGTCTAATATAATCACTTTCTGAGAGATCCATGTGAAAATTCTCATCTTATATAGGAAATAATATTTCCATGTCTCAGATATCCAAACTTGGTTGTAAAAGTGCATTATTATTCATTTTAAAAATTACATACTTATGTCAGAAATGCCTCTATGAACCACAGTTCATGCTGCCACTACTCAGATGAACTCACTGAATTGCAAGAGAAAGAATCAATGCTTCTGCCTTGTTTTGTTTATCTGTGCTTGGGGGTTTTACAAGAAAAACTCTAATTTGGCTCACATGAGGAAACAAAGTCCTGAAAGTACAGTCAATAGACCACAGAGTGAATCCAATTTCTTTTTCTAACACTCACAATTTAGTACATATAAAGAACTCTCCCCTTCTCTGTACTAGCTTTCCTTATCTGGAAATGGGGAGAATAATACTAAACTCTAGAGATGTACAGTGCCTAAACTTAACAAATATTTGTTCATTATTTTGTAAAAGAATTTGAATCATCATTGGAATTTATTCCAGGCTTATTCATAAAACACAATCCTATACAGTTTTTATTCCCTTTTGTTGTTTATATGGTACAGAAGACAAGTCTCTCGGGTCTCAGGCACTGGAGCCCAAGAAAATTGAAATACAAAGTTCTATTCCTTTCAAGTAAAAGAACAATAACGTTTTATACCTGGAAGTGATCATTGTAGATGAAATTAAATAAACTATATAGAGTCAGGCACTTGGGAAAGTTTAATAAAGATTCATGACATCATCATTATAGTCATCTTTGTTCTTATCTTCATCCTGACCTGCATGATCATTTTAGAGCACATAAGAGACAGTTTAGAGAGATCCATTTCTTGTGATAATAAAAGAGATACCCACCAGAGCTAGAGCTAGTGTGGAAAGAGAACAGAACTCCTCTCAGTCATGGATCCTGACCAGAACCAAGACTATAAACTAGAATAGTGGTCACAGAATGTGGGAAGGGAAGGGAGAAGTGGGAAAGATGGAGATGGGATAACAGGTACTAAAATACAGTTAGCTAGGAGGAATAAATTTTAGTGTTCTATAGCACAGAAGGGTAGGCAAAGTTTACAGCAATGTATTATATATTTTATAAAGAACTAGAAGAGAGGCATTTGAATGTTCCCAACACAAAGAAATAAGAAATGTTTAAGGAGACATAAATGCTAATTATCCTGGTTTGATCATGAAATATTATATACATGTATCAAATTATCACACTGTGCTCCATAAACATATACAAAATTATTATGTCAATTAATTTTTAATTTAATTTTTTATTTCATAGGCCTCTGAGTTACAACTTTGTATTTGGGGGGCCTCCTATCTGGATACTCCAACTTCTTGTCTGGGTAATGAGGAACTGATGCTCTCTGAGTCCCTTTTGCATTTAGTTTCTTCCACCACACTCACCAGTCAGTGCTGCCACTATGCTGGGGCATGACCAGGGAGTGACGATCCATTGCCTCTCCTCTGCCTGGTGAGTGGTGAGGAATCAGACTCCATCCTCAGAATTGGGAGGAGGACAGACTCAGGCATGGACCTCCAATGTAGACAATGACTCTGGAAAGAGGAGACACACAGAACCAACTGGACTGGGACCAAAAAGCTGCAGGACATAGGCTGATTGTTTATAGTTGTATGGGTGGGTCTGAGAGCTCCATAGGCAGAGCTCATAATTAGCCAAATTGGTTCATGTAATGCTAATCTCTGAAGATAAGTTAACATTAATGGAACAGAAGCATAGAGAAAGTTGGCTACTCCCCTCTTATAACTCTGAAGCTTCATAAATCTCAAACTCACTTTTTAAGTTTAAACAAAATCAAGAGTTTAATCTCATTAAAAGCATGCAAATTACCAAGAAATTTTGAGAAAATTAGATCAGTATTGAGAATCAGATAGCATATCAGATAGCATAATTATCTCAGGTTAATACTTTTGCCTCTAGAATGAACTGACAGAGGTGTATCAAATCTCCAACAATAATCACATTGTTAGACTTCAAGTGTCCAAATCCCCCTTGCAAACACACCCCATAAAGCAAGACATTCCGTGGGACTACTCCTAGTAGCTGAGGACAAAGAACAGACTCTCTTGGATAAGGCTAAATTTTCACTACACACATCACAACCTGGGCTTCAAACAAGACTCTCTTAGAGCAAAATGAGCATAGTTGTTGGAACATCTACCTTCAGCATACCTTTTATGTAACAAATAAACCCTATCAGTCTGAGTGTTCCTATCACTCAGAAGCCAGTATTGTGTTGAGATAGATTATTTTAAAAAATAACTAATCTGTGCAGGGTGTGGTGGCATACACCTATAACCCCAGTGACTCAGGAGGCTAAAGCAAACATTGCAAATTTGTGAGGGCCCTCAGCAATTTAATGAGACCCTGACTCAAAATAAAATTAAAAAGGTCTAGTGATGTAGCTTAATGGTAAAGTACCCTGAGTTCAAGCCCTAGTAACAAAAAAAAAAAAAAAAAAACTAATCTGTCTAGTAAATACTTTATATACATTTTCATTTATTTGTGCTAATGTACTTACCTCTCCCCCTTAATTTAATGCTATATGTACCTGTAATAAATTTGTGCAAAACTAACTTAGCTGAAAGTTAACTAAATTCAGTTCTAAGCATTCTAAATCCTGTGACTAAGCTAGTAATGGATTTCCTTCATTAAATAATCCATTTGTTCATTCCTATACCCTCATCTCTTTCTTTCTGTCTTTCCCCCTCCCCTCACTCCCTGCCCTGGCCCACTTTTATTTTTGTTCATACTTTTTCACCTTTGGAAGGGACATTAGTTTTCGTCAATGTTCTGGTCCAGATTGCCAGCACTAATACTAGTCTAGCAAGTTCCTACCCCTAAGTCCACTCCCATTTATATGGGGGAAAGTTACACAGGTACAAAATTTGAGAGCTATCATGACTACTAGACAATAAGGGACAGTCACCATGAAACCTAATTTTGTCAGATGGGTGAACACAGGGTTCACCTACTCAAGCCCTAGGAATTCTGACACAGAGGCCTAAAGCTATGCCTAAAAGTTTTTGCCTTGGAATCACTTCTTCTTCTGGTGCCCAAGGTTTCAACTCTCGTCCTGCCTGGGCTACTGCACTGAGTTAGAAAAAGAAAGTTGAAATAATATGGAGAAGAATTATAGGTTTGTGCCAGCATTCTCTCCTTCCCTTCTCCTCTTCTCCAGATCCACAAGAAAAGCAGGTGAATCTATCTAGTTGGGAACAAACCTCAGTGTTGAATTTGAGCTCATACTCGCAAAGGCCCTTCATGCCTTTATCTCTGGCTATTTTAGACAACTCAAGTTATTTCAATTGTCCATCCTACTTTTCTATTAGACCTACTGTAGTTTAGGTAAGTGTCCCCCAAATGCCCATAAAGTCCCCAGAGCAGCACCACTGGGAGGCAGTGGAATCTTTAAGCAGTGGGGTCTAATGAGAGGTCTTCAGAACGTGGGGCACATGCTCTCAGGGGATAATTTGACCCCAGACCCTTCTTCTTCTGTTTCACAACCATGAGATGAATGGCTTTCCTTGACCACATACCCCTGCCATAATATGCTACTTCCTACAGTCCCAAAAGCAACAGAACCAACTGATAATGGACTGAAACCTCCAACACTGTGAGCCAAAACCAAATTTTGCTCTTTATAAGTAGCTTGTCATTTGTTATAGTGATGGAAACCTAACACAAACTATTAGTCTGAGGACGAAAGTGTGTTTCTTGTTATGAGGAATGAGACACAGGGGTTGAAATTGGTGCCTTGTCATCTGTTCTAGTTCTTTTATGGTACTCTGAACATTCACTTTTACCATCTAGTAAGAAAAGCCCAGTCCAGAGATAAATTTCTATTCCTGTCAGGATCACTTATGTTTTACAGTTGAACATAAATCCAACCCACCAGCCATGTGCAGGGCCTTCCTCCTAAGGATTCTGTCCCCTAGCCATATGCAGCCTCTTTCTCTCTTGTTGGCACATAGAATGTTCATATGGGCACTCTGTATCTCAGAGGTGCAAGAAAAATATGTCTACCTTCAGGTCATCTATACACTGCTGTTTCCCCATTTTGGTCAGCTTTTTCACTACTGTGACTAAAAGACCCTATCAGAACAATTGTAAAAGAGGAAAAGTTTGAGGGCTCACAGTTTCAGAGGTCTCACTCCATAAACATAAGGCTCACTTTCACAAGGCTCAAGGTGTGGCAGGACATCATGGAGGAAGAGTGTGGCAGAGGGAAAAAGCTCACATGTTGATCAGGAAAGAGAGACAGTCCACTCTTCAGATACAAAATATATATGCCATAGCCATGCCCCCAGTGAACCACTTCCTCCAGCCACACCCCACCTGCCTCTAGTTACTACTCACTTTAACCCATCAGGAATCAATTCACTGATAATGTTAAAGCTTTGACCTAAACATTTCTCCTCCAAATCTTCTTGCATTGTCCCACACATGAGTTTTGGGGTACACCACATATAAATCATAACTTTCTGTTCCTGGTCCACAAAAGCTCACTCTCATCTGACAATGCAAAACACATTTAGTAAATACACAAGAGTCCCCATAGTCTCAACTGTTCCAAGATTGCTCAAAGTTCAAGTCCAAAGTATTCTGAAGCTCAAGGCAATCTTGCATTGTAAACTCCTGTAAAATTAAAAGCAATTTACAAGTATCCAATATATAAAGGTACACAGTAAACATAAAAAAAATAGGGGTATAGAAAGAAGGAAGGGACCAAAGCAAGACAAAAATCCAGCTGGACAAACAAATCCTGTAGTTCTGTGTTCATCCTCTGGAGTACATGTCATGATATCCTCTCCAAAGGGCTTGTCTAGCTCCACCTCTGTGGCCTTGATGGCTGCAGTACAAGTAGCCTTTCTGTTTTCTTGCCTCTGCTCAATTCCTACAGCTTTCCTACATTTTTGGCATTTCTTAATCTCAGGGGTCTCCACTGCAGCTTCTGCTTCCTCCTCAAATCTCCACACCTTGCCTTCTCAGGGAGCACCTTCAGGGAATCTGACCCTGCTACACTTTGTCTGGCTTCCAAGGCCTTCCTCTGAAATCTTGGCAGAAGCCTCCATGACCCCCTAAATATAGCATCCTGCATTCCTGAGGAACTAGCATCATGGGGTTGACACCAAGGTCTGCCACCATCTTAAGCAGTAGCCAAGCCTCTAGTGACCTGGATTATTATTCCAGCAGACTCTGAGTGTCTGGGTGGATGAACACATTGAAAAAATTTCCTAGGCCCTCTTATGCAAGGATTCCCCACTGGTCCCTTCTCAAGAGAATTTTCACTTTTACTCCCTTGAGCCTGAGATGGGTGTGGTTTTGCCAGGTCCTGAGATGCCCTCAAGCCATCTTTCTTATTGTCTCTGGGCAAAATCTTTAGCATTTCATTAGTGCTAGTGATATCTTTAACAACTACAACTTCCTTAGCCCTAGTTTTACTCCACCTTTCAAGTCCAAGTTTTTTAAATATTTCTATTCTGCTTTATGCTCCTGAATATCACAATAAACTTGGCTAAAAGCCACCAGCAATACCCATGCCACTTCCTGTATGCTATGTTGCCTAGACATTTCTTCTGCCAGATTAATAAATCCATCACTTTTAAAATCAGCATCACAGAGAGTCTCAGGACACAGAACAAAATGCAGATAACTTTTTAGCTAGAACATAACAAGAATGACATCTAGTCTAACTATCAATAGAATCCTCTTTTTCCTCTAAGCCCTCTTGAGTCCTGTCTTCACTGTCCTATTGGCATTCTGGTCTTCTGAGCTCCCACCAGAATCAGCCATTAAGCTTTGGCTTACAACAACCTAAAGCATTTCCAGCTTACACTGCTAAACATTTCAAAATTCCTCCCACCTATTCAAAATGTTCCAAAAACTTAGCAACCATACGGTAAGATTAGTCACAGAAAAGACCCCACTTCTACGTGACAATTTCTGTTTTAGTCAGCTGTTTCACTGCTGTGACTAAAAGACCCGAACAGAACAATTGTAAAGGAGGAAGAGTTTATTTGATGGCCCACAGTTTCAGAGATCTCAATTCATAGACAGTAGACACCATTTCTCAGGGCTCAAGGTGAGGCAGGAGATCATAGAGGAAGAGTGTGGCAGAGGGAAGTAGCTCACATGGTGATCAGAAAACAGAGAGAGAAAGACTTCACTCTCCAGATGCAAAATATATACCCCATAGCCACATCCCTAGTGAACAACTTCCTCCAGCCACACCCCACCTCCCTCCAGTTACCACTCATTTAATCCCATCAATGTGGATTCATTGATAATGTTAAGTCTTTGACTCAATCATTTCTCCTCTAAAACTTCTTACATTTTCTCACATGAGACAATGCCACTCATCTTATGATTCAGATGGACACCTCAAGGGAGCACACCAGAATATCCACTCACTGGTTCCAATCATCTTACACTCCTAGAAAAGGACTTCTGATCAGCACCAACATGTCCTCTATTACTACCTCCCTTAAATCTCCATAGTGATTTATTTCCCAGGGTCATGCCCCACATAAACATACCTTTAATTGGTCAGTTTACTCAACATAGCTAGGCCATTGGCCAAAACCCATGAGGTAGTAAAAATACAAGTAGATAGGCAAACACCATGCAATTCAGCTCACTGAGATGATTTGTCTCTATCTTCTCAGAGTGGCAGCCTACCATCTGTTCAGCTTGTAATTGCCATCCATAAACCAAGTAGTTAATCAGTTTAGAGCTATACATAGAGCACTGCCCAAATGACAATGGAAGTGGACATTTCCTTGGATGGTTGCAAAGGCTACCTGCTCGTAAGTACTTGCTTGCATTTATCCAGTAATACATTCCTGTATAAATCATTTCCATTTCATTATGGAACTTATCTAGGTACCCACCTCCTCATTTGTGCATTTCTCTGACATTACTTAAGACATTATAGATATTTCAAGTTTCAATATTATTGTAAGCACTTTAGCCTTAGGGGTAGTGTGTTAATCTTTTCAGGTTGTTATAAAGAATACCATAAACCAGGTAGCTTATAACCAATAGAAACTTATTTTTCACAGCTCTGGAGACCAAGAGGTCTAATATCAAAGAATCTGATGAAGGTCACTTTCACAGATAATGCCTTCTTACTGTGTCCTTACATGGGAGAAAAGGCAAAGCAACTCCCTTGGAGCCTCTTTTATAAGAGCATCATGAGGGCAACAGTCTCATACTCTAATCACTTCCCAATGGTACGCTTTCTAATCCCATAACCTTGGTGATAAGGTTTCATCATATTAATTTGTAGGAGGATAAGCCTTCAGATCATAGCAGACTATTTCAATTAATAATTACAATCAAGAGAGTAATTATCTCTCAAATGGAAGTTATCAGGACTAAAATTCTGGTGGTCATTACAGGGTGGTGATCACAAGTTTTTTATTTAATTTCTAGTCTGTGCTCCACACAGCACTTTCATACAGATTTGTGCATACCAGTGTCCCGATTTCTTACATGACACTTTTTTTTTCTTTTGCAGTACTGGGTATTGAACCTAGGCATGTTATACCACTAAGCTACATCCCCATCCCTTTTTCATTTTTTATTGAGACAGGGTCTCACTAAGTTTTCTAGGTAGACCTCAAGTTTGTAACCCTCCTGCCTTAGCCTCCTGGGTAGCTGGGATTACAGATATGCACTATCATGCCCAAAGTAGTAATCTCTTTTTGTCTACCCAGATATTATATGCCTGAACATAGATTTTAGCTTTATGAGGGCAAGGATTTTTTTTCACTGCTATATTCTTAGCACCTAGAACAACCTGGTACACTATAGATATCCAATAAATATTGCCAAATGAATGAATTTAACAAAAACTAACAATGATTGTTGGTAAAAAATGAACTATTTAATGTTTTATCCAAGAGTCTCTGAGTTGATACTTGAATGGTTGTATAGACCTATAGGAATGCAAACATCAAGTTGAGATGTAGTGATGTAAAATGTAAAAGGAGGAGAGGTGGGGAATACAACTGAGGGTAACAGAGTGATCACCATAAAAGTTTCAGACAAAGTACTCCCAGGGATATTTTGATTAAAGACAGAGAAACAGAGTGGGTGAGGGGTGAAAGCCTATATAATTTAGATTCAGAATTTCTTGACACAGAATTTCTTTTGCTGGTACTTTTGCCAGCTCAAGGGCCCAGGAACAGTATTCTTGTCACTGAACATAAAATGTACTACCAAGTAGTTTCTTCAGGGCCCTCTTAATGTCTGTGTTCCTCAAGCTATAGATAAAGGGGTTCAGCATGGGGGTGACCACAGTATACATCATTGAGGCCATCATGCCCTTCCAGGAAGATGATGATGCTTCAGAACTGAGGTATACACCAAGACCTGTCACATAGAATAAAGAAACCACAGATAGATGAGACCCACAGGTAGAAAAAGCTTTATATTTTCCATATGTTGATGGAATTCTCAGGATGGAAAAGACAATCCGGGTATAAGAGAAAAGGATCCCTGAAAAGGGAACAAATCCAAGAAGGCCAGTCACCATGTAGAGTATTATGTGATTGATCAGTGTGTCTGAACAAGCTAGCATGAGGGCCTGAGCAAGTTCACAGTAAAAGTGTCGAATTTCCCAATTGGTACAGAAGGATAGACGCAGCATCAACAGACTCTGGATCAGAGAATATGACAAGCTGATTAACCAGGATGTAAGAACCAGGAGGCCACACAAATAGGAGTTCATGATGACTGGATAGTGTAGGGGATGACAGATGGCTACAAACCGGTCATAAGCCATCACAGTGAGAAGGAAGGTATCCATGCCTCCAAAAACCATAAAAAAATACATCTGGGTGATGCAGCCTGCATAGGTGATGGATCTGCTCTGTGTCTGAATGTTCACCAGCATCTTTGGGACGGTTGTAGAGATGAAACCAATGTCAGCAAAAGACAGATTGAAGAGAAAGAAGTACATGGGTGTATGAAGATGGGAATCTGAGACAATGGCTATGATGATGAACAGGTTCCCAAGGAAGGTGACTATAAACATGGATAGGAACAATCCAAATAACATCAGTTGATGCTCTGAGTCTTGGAAAAATCCCAGCAGTATAAATTCTAAAGCATTTGTTTGATTTCCTAGTCCCATGTTGTTGACACATCAGCTAGACAATTAAAGAGAAAGAACATTAAATAGACACCAGACAGACTATCTCGGCTTCTTTGTTTCTTGAGGTAAAATTTGGGCATGAAATCTTTAATATTATAGAATCTAGAAAACCTACATTCTCTCATTCGTTATAGGCAACATTTCATGATATTGACAAATCCATGTCTATTGGCCTATGGGAGACTCACCCATTCCCTTTGTCTCTGCCTTAGAATTAACTACAGAAAGTTAGAAGAAATTTTAGATCTTAGGGATAAAACAATCCACACCTGCTCCAATACACATGGGGCCCAGAGACCTAAAGAAAGTTCTGAGTTATCTTCCTTGTGTTTGGCAGGACTGGGACTCAGAGGAGGGTCAGATGACTCTGAGCAATAAGCAAATTTGAGAGGAGGGGAAATATCTGAAAAAATATTTCAGGATGAGCAGGATGAGTAGGATTTCAGTTTCCAAAGGAAAGGAAGAAATAACAGAAGAGGAGGTCAGAAGGAAGGAAGGGAGAGAGGGAGAGAGGAAGGGAAGGAGGGAGGAAAAGAAAATATTTTCAACAAATAATAAACCATGTTAACAAATGACTAGTAGGTAGTGGACCTGTGACCCTCAACATTTTACAGAAACAAGTGCTTTCTTCACATTTGCTACATGCTATTATACAGGTGCTTTTCACCTATAATAAATCAACTGATTGGTCAAACAGTCAAGGAAAACATAATTATCAAGGTTTAAACCATTGCAATGCCATAAGACACGGAAAAGGTCACAAAGAGATGTGGGGATTTCGGTTTGGCCCTGGTTTTGATTTTTATTTTGGTTTGGTTTTCATTTTGGTTTGGGGAGTTTGGGGGTGAGTAGTTGTTGTTATTGTTTGGGGTTTTTTACTGTTCTTGTTTTGTTTTGCTTCTTCTATTAAGGATCAAACACAGGGACTCTCACATGCTAACATTCAGCTACAACCCCAGCCCTCTTTATTTTTTATTTTGATACAAGTTCTCAATAAGTTGCCCAGGCTGCCAATATTTCTAAAATGAAAAACTGGTTATTTTATTTCCCTGCCTGAAATTTTTAGATGTCTTTCTAATGCTCTTCAGGATGATACAACAAAATATCACAACTCCATAGTTAACAAACAACAGAAATTTATTTCTCTCTGTTCTGATGACTGGAAAGTCCACCATTAAAGCAATGAGGGACAAGTGTCTTATGGGAGTCGATTTTCTTTGTTCATAGATGGCACTATCTTGATGTGTAATCACATGGTGGGAGAAGGTGAAAAAGCTCCTTTGAGCCTCTTCTATAAGGACACTGATCCCATTCATGCAGCTTCACTCTCAAGATGTAATTACCTGCCAAGAGGTCCCATCTCCTAATACCATGGCCTTGAGGGTTAAGATTTCAAAATGTGAATTTTTTTCAGGTCAGTCATTCTGAAAATATCTGGAATTCTTGATCTATCATGGGTCCACTCTGATCCTACAGCCTCATTTCTCAACACTTCTCAACTGTTACTCTAAATTCTGAACATACTGAAAACCTTCCTTGTATCAAAATGGGACAGAGCCTCTTATATAACCATGATTTTCAAGCACTCTTCCCTCTAATTTCTTCCTATATTTCTATACTTGACACAGCTCTCCCCTGTTTAGGCTCTTTCCAACCCCATCCATCCTCAATTTCAACTGATTTATTGGCATAGAGGATAACTTATATTGTTTGGGGCTAAATTAATGAATGGATGAGCCCACAATTTTTTCCATTGCTGTGACGCATCTAGTATACCCTGGGTGTCTGTTACTCCAAAATCTTCAGCAACCCTTGCCCCCAAGGGAGTTAATATACAGAGATGTGATAAATGGAATCAAAAGTTTTTGAAAGAGGAAAGGAAGAGAGAAGAGGGAATATGCTTTTACTCATTAAATAACCAGGCCCTCCTCTCAAGCCTAGGCAGGATATATCCCCAAGTTAGCACATCCCAGGATGCAACAGTGTAGCCAGCCCATCTTCTCTTGCCCTTCTACTTACTCTCTCACCAGGAATCCTTTCCCATGGAAACATCAGCAACTTCCTCTCCACAAGCTTTGTCTGAGTCACTTACATACATGTCCCTCGGTTTCTGTCCTCTTTTACAATGAAAACAAAAGGAAGAATAAATAGAGGAATCACACATTTACATGAAATTCACAGAGAACTGTCATAGCAGTAGTTCTGGTGGGATTATAAATAAGGGGAGTCATCATTTCCATTCTTTTCTTGGAATTTCCTCAGTGTTTATATTTGTCCTTTCACTTGCATGTAGAACAGCTGAATACTTTCCATCTCTGAGTGAGGAAGTCCTCTCTCTCTGTTCTCTCCTCAAACACCACATTCCCAAAGAGAACAATAGAAGGCAAATGAATGAGAACATTCCCTCCACTGTGTCTGGTTGCAGGAGCCTCAGAACATAAATAAGAAAAGAGTCATGCCGGGAAAATGCCCTGCTCTCCTTCCCAGTGTTATGCCAAGCATCCCCCCATCCATTCAGGTGCCTATGAGAACAGTGGGATATCAGTCTTCCGCAAGTAATTAATGAGCACCAGAGAGGAGAATACTCCAAAGTATTCTTATGACCTCTGCTGATTTGGGGAATGGTTAATGAAAGGATTGGCCTATGAAGCTGGAATCTCTTCTCAGCTCTATATTAGGTCCTCTGAGAAAAAGATATATAGTCTACACAAACATTCAGGTTTTTGAAGGGAAGTGCTTTTATGAAAGCACTTCTCCCTTAAATGTTTCTGCTGAGAACCATGGATACAGGTGAAGTGGGCAAGAAGGCCAGGTCTGTCCGGAGAAACAGGGGTGTTACTAAGCACGTGACAATGACAGCAGAATTCAGAAAGGCTTGTTCTAGGCTAAGGAAGAATGAAGACTTTGGAGTTCTTGGTCAGACAACAAAAAATGACTAGAAAAGACCAAGACTTTACTACAAAGTATCCATTTGTAAAACCCAGACTGGTAACTCTAACACTGGACTGTGTTATCCACAGCAATTCTGTGCTGTCAGGGTGCCCTAATGACCAAAATAGAGTAACCCTCCCCATAACCTCCTCAGCTATCCACCCAAATACTATACAATGAAAGTAAAACTTCACTATACAAAGGCAAGTTTAAGCAACTAATCTAGTCATTCTACTTTCCAAGCAAATATTCTTGAGAGCTCCCTCTCCATGAATATCATCTCTTTTCCCTCATCACTTACTGGGCTATGTAGGCTTGGCAGCATGGACCCACTGCAGGGCCAACTTCCTCAAATTGTGTTCTGTGATGAAGACAGAAGATCTGTCCACTGGAAGAGCAGGGAGACAGAGCCAGGCATACGGTATGGGGTCTGGTTGACTTCTCCTGGAGAAGGCATGAGTGTCTTAGCCTGGCACTTAAAGGCCTTGGTGACTATAAGCTGATGAGTTTCAAGTTGCATTCTGGAGGCTGTATCCCCAGTGAAGTTTATTAAACAAATTGATCAATGGTATGTTCCTTCCTTGATCAGTTTGGCTCCATAACAGCAGGAATAAACAGGAAGAAGTCTCTAACTCCTCAATTCCTTATTCCAGGGAGACTAACTGTAGGTCCATCAGGATTCCTCTCTCCTGTGTTCCTCTCCTCTGGGAAGAGTCACTAGTCTTGCTAGATTCCCTCTTGGTGACAAATGTCACCATTTTCCACTTACAGTTTCCTTATCAGGCAGATGGCTGAGTAGCAAACAGTCTCAGGATTCTCTAGTGTAGGGATTCTCAAAATTTGGCCTACACCAGGATGACCATGAGGACTTGTTTAAATTCAGAGTACTGAGACCCACTCACCCCCAGTTTTGTCTCAGTAGATCTGACTTTAAGTCTGATAATTTGCATTTTGGGAAAGTTTCAATTTTTATATCCCCAAGACAGTCTTTTTTTTAAGCGAGAGAGAGAGAGAGAGAGGGAGAGAGAGAGAGAGAGAGAGAGAGAGAGAAAATTTTTTTAATATTTATTTTTTTAGTTTTCGGTGGACACAACATCTTTATTTTACTTTTATGTGGTGCTGAGGATGGAACCCAGCGCCCTGCACATGCCAGGTGAGCGCGCTACCACTTGAGCCACATCCCTAGCCCCCAGTACACTCTTTTGAGAAACACTGTCCTAGGATTTAGATTTCTCAAAATCATCACCTTGGGCTTTGCTAATATACAGCTTCCTACTCTATCCAAGACTTACCTTGTCAATATATTCAGGGAAAGATCTCAGAATCTACTTTTTAAATATTTCAAGTGGTTTTTAATCTTTTTATTAATTTTTATTGTGGTAAAATATAAATAGCAAAACATGCCAAAAATTGTCACGATTTTTCAGTGCATGGTTCAGTGGCACCATGTGTATTCACAATGCTGTGCGGCAGCACCGCTGTCCATTTCCCAGGCTTTTAATCATCCAAACATAACTTTTATTTCCATTAAACAGTAACTCACCATACTCCTCCACCTCCAGCCCCTGGCAACCACTATGGCTCTTTCTATGCTTATGAATTCCCTCTTCTAGGTTTTTCCATCTAAAAGATGAATACTTGGAGGTAGTCTTTTTATTGCCTAATGATGTTCATCATGCGGCACATAATCAGGAAAAGAACAAATTTTAAAAGGAAGAATTGAATCTTTATTTTACCATAGAGTGTAATATTTTAGTTTTTATATACAATATTATCTAACCTCAGTATTGGAAGTAATATCAAATCAATGGTATGTTCCTTCCTTGATCAGTTTGGCTCCTTGGATCTACCTATCATGATTTCAATTTGATATTACATTTTGAGGGATCTACCCATAATTATTTCAATTTGATATTATACTTCTTGCTATTGATCCAGCATTCTAAATTTTCTCAATATTCAATCTCTCCCTTTCCAGCCAACCTCTAAATACATGCCACTTGGTCACTTGTTCTCTGAAAATTACTCTCTGCCATTTACCCACACAT